TTATTTAGCGCAATGGTCCAAAATGCCATCCGCGCCCCCTGCTGTATGGCCAAATACACGCAAAAAACCCACCAAAATCCAGATGCATTTCTCTTGTACATCCCAATCATGACGGGAATGATCTCGTATCAGACCCCTAGCTCCCCCTCTATGCCCCTATATCAATATGCTGATTGGTATAGAGATGGCCTGCCCTAGGGAATAAACACGCCTGCGTGATCAGATAATCAGATTGAATGTCAATCGTTTCGGGGCAATATGGAGCACTGTGTCTGGAAAGCAAAGAAATCAAAAAACGGTGCAGGTTGTTATATTACACACTAGATGGTGGTAGTTACCCTTTGCATTGCTTTGCGAGCTGCTTTGAGTCCAATGAAGGAAGATGAAGAAGTACTTCCGGGGGTTTTCTCACGTTCTCCTGTACCTTCGGTAACGAGCCTCTCCTATTCCTGGACAACATTTATTTATTCTGTTACTGTAGGTCCTGATGCCTGGCTTGGTGAGAAACCTCCTTTTTTGTAATATAACAAATGAAGGATTAATCGCAGCACAAATCCATTATGATTTAGTCTAGCATTTATTTTCGCTTCAATCAGCCTCTTATTTGTAATATAATTATGGATGAATCGCAGCACAAATCCATAATGATGTAGTCTAGTATTTATTTTCGCTTCAACTTAGTCTCTGTGTGTTTTTGCTTTGCATGACAAGCATTTACTCTTAGCATGACAAGGACAATAATGTTTTGTTGTGACGTACAATGTTAATGAGATGACAACTATTGAATGTTTGTCACAACGTGGTGTTAGAAATTAATGGACTTGCTACAACAGGCTGACATACTTAGATGTTGATATGATAATGTCGTCGTTTTTAGATTACAGTGGTTAGTATTGTATTACTCTTTATTACTCAGCTCAGTTTATATATAAATATTTTGTTATGTTTCACCAACCAGATCTGTTCAGCGTTACCAGGCAGGTTGAGGTCCCACCTCCTGTCCTGCATAAGAGGGTCATGCCAGCAATTTTCACTTCCTTTGTGTTCTGGGGTGCGACCTTCTGCATCCAAGCTCATAAATCTCCATCAAGGCTGCCGTGGAATCCTTACTCCCCAAATCACAGCCTGCGTCAGGTGCTCAGATTTGTCCACACAGAAATACGACGTGATTTATAAATTCCCACACATTAAGCTCTTCAGAGCCGTGTCCAGGCTAAAATTACTCCAAACTGGGCTCACTGTGATTATCCTCCCACCTGTATACATTCTGTATCTAATGGGAGATGCCCCGCTCTTTCTTGTCAACTACTCGACGGGAATGGCTCTGTTTGCTGGTGTCATGTTGTACACGGCTAGCCACTTCTTCAGGAGGGTTGTGGGAATGATGTACTTGGATTCATCCCACAACACGCTCAAAGTTTCCCACCTGACATTCTGGGGTAGACGCCATGACATCTACATGCCTGTGTCAGACGTTATGACTATAGGGGACACAGGGGACTCTTCATATGAGACCATACTGAAACTGAAGCGGTACAGCACTCCTCAGACTTTGTACTACTCCCCACGTTTTGGACAGGTGGTGGACAAACAGCGTTTTGAGAAGGTTTTTGGATGTTCAAGTTGACATTTTATGTGTGATATGATAATGTTAGATGATGCAAAGACTGAATTATTAACATTTCAAACCTCAGTCAGAGTAACCCAAAAAATTATGGAAGAGTGTGTTTTAGTACAGTTAAGTACAATATACTGTAATTGACAAAGCTTTTGCATTGGATAACATGATACAAGTGAGTCCTTGAATTAATTTACAATTTGGTTACAGTTGTTCTGAAGAAGAGTGTTTCTACAATTTTCAGATTCTCATGCATCTAATAATTGCATAAATACTGGAACAAGTTTCAAACACTTGTGACATTAAACTTGTATCACAATAGATGTGTGCACTTTATTTATTTTGGGGGTTTGGGGGTGGGAAGGATTTAGCACATCAACTCTTGTTTCTTTTTTTTTTTTTTTTTAAATTGAACCACAAACAAAATATTGCATTTGTCAGGGCAGTGTCAATTTGCTCTGACTGCTGCTTCTATAATACAGAGAGAGGATTTCAGAGGCAGTTTGTTCCATTCATTGACTGTACACATGTATTCCCTTTCCCACTTTGCTTTCTCCTCCACATCCTGGTACGTAATTATGAGATTATAAATACAGTATTCAAGTATTGTTGTAAAATACAACATTTACCTGTATATGGCATGCAGTGTATTGTTAAAGTTTACCGAAGGTACCAGGCTGTGAAGCCGGCAAAGAGAGCGATCCAAGCGGCCAGCACTACCTGAGAGGGCAAGTGTTGCAGGAGAGCCTTGGCAAACTGGCAAACGTATGTGGGATTTCCGCTGGTGGCTAGACACCGGTTATGGAAGCATGAGGAGGATGGAGAGGTCAAACAAGGAAATAGGGTTAGACATCAGTAACGTGACCAGAGGACGTGTCTAGTTTTGCGTGGTTCCTACGTCAGTTGCCATCTTACCCATTTTAGCCACATAGTATGGGCACTTATTGATATCTTCCCCTTGCATGATTTCAGCATGACCATGTCCAAAAGCTTCCTCTTGTGCTTGCTCTGGGATTTTTTTTCCAATCTCTTCAAGCTCTGTGAACACCTGTTTTCAGATCACTGTTAGAATGTTGTTTTCTGAATTTTGCAATCTCACTACTTCCTCACCATCATGTTGAAGCCAAAAGCTCTGTTGGACTCTTCCACGATCTTTCGCTTGGTGTCAGTGTCCAGCTCGATCTCATTCATCCTACTCCTGTAAAGCCGCTTGAAGCCGCTGTGACCGTGGATGCCCTCAAACTGGTAGAAGTTGAGACCCTCTCCAGATGAGGGGAGCTTAAGTGCCCTCTGGGCCACTTTCTTGAGGATCTGTCCACCTGAGAGATCCCCCATATAGCGGGTGTACGCGTGGGCCACCAACAACGCGGGGTCCTGCGCGCCCACATTGTGGATGCGGTCCACATAAGGCTTGGTGCATGCAGAAAGGCTGATCTAGTTGCAGAGAGAATTGCCGATGAACATCAAATGATGATGCCAGCTTGCAAAGCTTTGATTGGGTTTTCAGCTGACCTGAATCTGCCATTCGGCTCCATAGAAATACTCGAGATCCCGGGCCAGGGCCTCGCACCTGTGCAACTCTGCAGGGAAGTAGATTGGAGCAACTTGAGGATGGTCTTTGTTCTTCTCAATCTCTTCCTCCATGGCCAAATAGACAAAGTACAGAGCTGCTGTGCCTCTCTGACAGTGAAAGAATAACATTTGAGTTGCATTTACAGAAGCACGTTATATCCATCACATTAAATCTCAAACATACTGTAATAATCCTATGAAGGACACAAATAATAATCAAATTATGCAACATTTGCAATTATGTTTGTGGCAGAGTAATACTATCATTTAATAAAACAATGGATAAAGCGTGTGTTTGTGAAGAACTGGATCTCATTACACTGTGTGTGTATAATAATCCATATCATAATGTTGATCAGCACTTACCTTAAACAGCTCTCTTGGAATATGTCCTCTGAGGAAGTCTTTGACAAACTGGCAGTTCTCAGCTCGGTCGTGAGCTTCTTTGGTGCCCTCAGCCAGCATCTCAGACAAGTCGCTTGGACTAGATGGAAGCGGAAATGCTCATGATAAAACACACGTTTTCCTGGGAGATGAATAAACAACACATTAACTACCACAGCTTTCTTTCCTTACCTTAGAATTTCATCCTCACCATCACCAACAATCACTCCGTTTGTTTCTTGTTCGGTGGTCATCGTTTTGGTTGACTCGATTGACCTTAATAGGAGATTGGAGTTATTCATATACACTTCATTTAAAATGTTTACAATCTAATACTGTACTTCAACATGATGATGAACGACAGTGCATCTCGAATAAACAGATGTATTTTCATTTTTAAGATAAGATAAGAAAACCTTTATTAGTCTCGCAATGGAGAAATTCCCAATACACAGCAGCAAATTTTTAGATACCTTAATTAATTAATTAATCAGCCTCGCAACACAAAGAGTTCTATAGTCCTCCATGAAAGACGACTGAAAGTGCGTCAGTGTTGTGTTTTATTGGTCTGAATGTGTAGTTGAACAGTCCCGATGACATTCTCATGGACAGTTACAAAAGTGACACAACAAGTCTTTTCAGCTCGCAACGAGCCACACGATTGCGTAAACCCGAACAAAACATTAGCAAGCTTTGTTTTATCACCGCAAAAGAAAAAAAAGAACGTTAGGGAAAGGGGTTTACCTTAGGGACCGTCGCTCCCCTGTTTGACAAGGACACAAAATTCAGGAGACCCGCCTCTTGTTCCATATAGCCAATCAGAATACATCTTGAAACAAGAGAGACGATTGGCTCTGGGGCAAAGCTTGTAGCCAATCGTGTTTCACGCTTGAAATCATGCTAGTTACGACAATGTTGCAGCACTTGCAGGCGAAATGATCAATATTAAAGTTTTTGGATTGTGAAATTGTGGACAAAATAAAATTGGTTTCGAGTATACAATGATGGCTTCGTTGCAAATCAACGTAGTTGTAATATATCAGATTATCCTGTAGATGTCATTCAAAGCCTTGTCATGTATTTTCCATCGGCTGCAAGGTCATCAAGCAAAGTGGGCAGTGAGTCATAAAATTCATAGAGATGGAGTTGGTCTTGACTTATTTTAGGTAAATGTATATATGATATTTGCTCCATGTACAGTACTGTATACAGTGGTGGTAGTTTTAAAGTGCTCTATGAATACAGTTGAGTTGAATTTCGTTTGTGATTACGCTCTAGCCACACATTTCACTGTATAACTAAACTACCACTATTCTCATTCGAATATATTTGTATTTTTTTATTTTGACTGATTGCTTTATATAACCAGAGAGAGAAAAAAACAAAACAAAAAGATACATATACATCAGAAACAAAATAATCAATACATTACATTATTCAGTACAGTTTACGTCTTCAACTGGAGTACATTAAATTTGTCTCGTCCTAGTCCTTATGTTATCATATTAATTAATCATGATCCAATAATATTTTTTTCATGGACATTGCACTTGTCTTTGTATCCAACTGATTTTCTCTGCATGATACTTCAAATGAAAAAAAACACAAGTGCAATCAGGACCATCTATCGTGACAGAGGAACAGACCTCTTGTAGCCTGCTATTTACAGTACTGTTAATTATAAATCCATTCAAACATCCTGGACAGGGAATAAACATTCAGTTATTGTATATAATTGCAATCCCACTAGAAACTTGTTGGCCACCGTCAGTTCACTTATGGGATCTCAGAGCACTTGAAAACAAGAACAAAGACTGATCTTGGACTCAAGTTTTTTGTTTTTTTTTCCTCCTTGCCAAACCTCCATGTATTGAAGTGGTCTCAGGCAGCGCTTTCTTGAAGGGCCCAAGAGAGCTATGTTCCACTGTAGGAAAGCCCCACAGCCCCTTGTTGCAGTCTTGTTCCTAATAAACACAGTGACGACAGACCCACCTTTGTTTGTTTGCTCATTGTTAATCACTGAGACAAGCTTCCTCCGATCAACAATATTGCATTGAACTTGAGTCGATAGCAGCACAGGTGATTTAGCTTTTAATGTTCAGCCCAATTTCCTGTGTTTATGAACAGCACGGCTGTTTTTCTTGGTCTCCTTAGTCATTAGCCACACTGTATATTGGAATGCACATGAAATGCTGGTGTGTACGGCGGCTGTTGGTGTTTTCCCCAGAAAAACGTTCCGGAATGCCATCATGTTTAATCACCGCTCATACAGTAAATTCTTCAATGACTCTATGATGGAGTGTGCAGTCATGCCAGATCATTGTGATCAAACATGTATCAGGAGAGCAGGTTATTCCATTTCATTGTTATAAGGTGCATTCCTTATTGTTTTGGTCATTACTTTTTGAATCTTTATTCTACAAAAGGGATACTTTCCTGACTGCAGAGCATTTCCTCTGTCGTCTGTCTCATCCTGAAGTAATTCTCATTCATTGTTTCATGATTTTCATGTCAAACCGGGTTCACATGAATCTCTGTCAGAGGGGACGGCAATAAATGTTGGAATTGTGAAAAAACTGTCACTGGACAGTGCTACCAAGTGCCGTGCTTGTATCTTAAAGTTGCAAAAGAAGGCAGAACTTGATGATGAGAAGTCAAAATTATGACCGCCTAATGGTTTGATTGTCTGTTGTAAATTTCTATAGTTGTGGCCAAAATATTTGCCAATGAAGTAAAAGTTTCAATAACGTTGATCCTTTAGTTTTCACCTTTGTGATTTCCATTGCCACCGTTTTGTGAGCATCGTTTTATTATTTATTACCTTATTTTTTTATATTTCACTTTGAATTTACACTTAGGCATATTGCAGAAATTGTAAAAAATAAAAATAAAAAAAGGTCAACATCGTAAATGTCTTTTTTTGCACAACTTTGATGTATCTAGACATCTTAACAATATGTTTTTTTGTATTTTCATATCTGAAATATTAAAGCTGAAGCATCAGAGTTTAAAAGGAAACTCATTCTGTCTCCCAAACTTATGTCAGGCTGGCCCTGAAAGCCGTTTTTTAAAATCTTTATTCAGTTCAGCTCATTATCTTAATCAAGGAGGTTATGTTGACGTTGGTATGGATATGCCACTATTTCATGTTTGTTTAAGGATACTGATCTCCTGACAAGATTATTATTATTATTATTATTTTATTAATCACACTTTTTTAAATGATTGGTTAAATTATGGTGAAAACCGAGACGTGGAGGACATCATTTATCTTGTATAAAACCTAACCTAATAGTTTGAAATTTTAATGTGTGCAAGGAGAGTCAGAAACCAAGTTTTATCCAGATTCTTTGTATTTGACAAGAAATAGGTTTATGTGTCAGTGGAGGTCTTGTGGTCTTTCGAAGAAGAATTTGCTCTAGCACTGGGAAAGGTTGCAAATAAATTACTTTTTGTAATTGCACAATTTATTTCCTGGAGAAGTTGTAGGAGTATATGACTAAAGCCATAAAGGATATTTATTGACTTGAAGGTTATTGACTTGAATTTATTTGGCATCATGAAGGTTGATGGACATGTTGGTTGAGATAGTTCTACTTTATACTTACTTAGGCTCTTTGTTAAGATCCAAGGGTGATTTTTTTTTTTTTTTTTTTTTTAAGTGTCGGGAAGCAAGACGAATTACTGAGTCTGAGTATACATTTCAGGTGATTGGAAGAGGACACGCAGAAATGTAGATTTTTTTTTTTCTCTCTCTCTCATGCAAGTATACATCTCAGTTAGAAACAGAAGTGCAGCTACCGGTTTGATTTATGGCCAGAAGAAAGTGGGCAGCTTTGTGTCTCGGGTGGGAGTTTGGAACTTGGTACCATAAATCCCTGTGGCTATTGGTGGCCTGCAGAGAGTGTGCTTAACCTCGGGCCCAGTGTATAATTAGAAACACACTTTTCTTTGGATCCATGACAGGAAACATGCTGGAGCTCCGTGTGTGAGAGGCTGTGGGCTAACAAAGAAAGGAAAGTGTACACATGAGCCAGGCAGATTTGATCACAGTTTTCTCGCTGAGTGTGTTGCAATAGCCTCATTATAAAGTGCAGGTGGATGGGAAGCTGGGATGGAGGAAAGCTAATGATAGTTTAACGTACTTTGCATTCACTCTTGGCTTGACATTCATTGTATCTGACATATTGTCTGGGAAGAATGCCACAGGTTGAAACCAGGGGGATTTCATTGTTGCAACGATATCATAATACAGTACTCATTGAAGATTTTTTTCCCTCTTATCTGTGATTCTCTTAATACTTTCAGTAGTTCCTTGCGCTATCCAGAATATTGATTTTCTTTTTAAAAGTTGTTTAAATTACCCTGCTGCTCATTCTGCAAATGCTTTCCCTGAAAGTTAAAGCTCCACATTGTGAATTATTTTACTTTTTCCCGCCCTCAACAATCTCCTGTCCCAACAATGTACAGTATGTATGATCCGCTATGTCTCCAAGAAAATCCGAAGCATATGGAGCAGAGAAGAACCCTAAGCCTGATCACTACCTTAAATGTATTGTTGAGGGGAAATCCCACTTTGCAAGAGAAAATGATTACGAGTGGTGGATAAGCCACAAAGGACAGGAAATTCTGCTGATCTCAGTCTACCATTTGAATCATTCATGGAATGCTTCAACGAACCCCCCCCCCCCCACCCAATCTGTTTACAGTAGATTAAGTATGCAGAAATGTGACACGTTCCTGTGACAATAGAATTGCTGTTAAATACACCAACTGATTGAACAATAACATCTGGTTAGAAGCAAACATTTTCAATTCAAATTGAATGTAAGAATGCAGAAAAGAAGAACGAAATATTGACTTTTTTGGGGTGGAGATGAAAAAGGACATGAGAAAAAAAAAGGCTGTGTTGTAGGACATGTTTCACATTTCCAACCTCTGTTTTATGCAGACATGTATCCTGTCACCATGGAAATCTGGGTTTAGGCCAGACAAAGTTCTCACTATTGGGCTGTATTTGAAAACAAAAGGAGTTCAGGATTCACTTGTCTAATCTATGTTTTTTCCAGTAATAGTCAAGGGGACATATTGTGGGTAACACAGGGTGAGGCTGGGAGAATCTGACAATAGACAAAGAACTGTATGTATCACAACATCTATTGTGTTCTTGGGTGAAACGTCTCAGAGTTTGCTTGACGGAGTCCAAGGATTCTCGCCTTTGAACTGCCACCAAATGTGTCTTTTTTTTTTTTTCATTTCCCCAAGGAGACACATTCCTTCACCAGGGAATTCACAACACAAATTCAACATTTTTGAGTCTCAGAGAAAGGCAGTGAAATTATTTATTTAAAAAAAAAAGACAAAATGTG